GTGTCAGAATGGTATATATTTATACTTCTCATCCAACCACAATTAAATTCACTCTATCCAGGAGACACAATTTATCAGGATAGTTTTTTTTAAATAATAACTCAGAATAAAATAGGAGTAACGACTTTCTACTTCTTACCTTTTCAAAAAAATGTGGTGAGTATAAAGTACAGATAATTGTGTAAAAGTGTAATGAGTAAAAGTAAAAAGTATGCTGAAAAATAATTACTCAAGTAAAGTACAGATGACCAAAATTTCTACTTAAGTACAGTAACAAAGTATTTGTACTTAGTTACTTCACAACTCTGAGCTCAGTAAAGGACTATTCCACTCAATTATTTTAGTGTCACAATGACCTTTGATCAGCTTTAGATTATAAAATATACTTAAATGATTCAAAGCTAAATTAGTCTACACTGAAGGTAGCATCTTTACTACACAGTTTGGGAAATTTGTGAAAGTTTAAGGAGGAACTATAGTCCAGTTCAAAAACAGCAATACTGGATTAGATTATTTTAGACTAAAAACAGAATCTTCAAAATAAGTAAGTAAACTTTATTTCCTATAGCACCTTTCACAGACACAAACATCACAAAGTGCTTAACAGAGAGCAAAATAACTAAAAACAACAAAAACAAGTCACAAATACAACTAGACATGGGTTTTTATGGTGTAAAAACAAGTGTTAAAGTCTTCTCTAAAAATATTACTTGAGTAAAAGTCTTAAAGTATCTGATGTTTTTTGTACTTAAGTATCAAAAGTAAATTTCTGACACAAAATCTACTTAAGTATTAAAAGCATGGCTTTGCTTGCAGCATTGGACTTGCAGAATGAAATGGGACCAAGTTCAAATGTGTTTTCTATACMAGCTTGTGCCTGTCACGTCAACAGGTGTTTGTAATTAAGGTAATTGAGTGACCAAATGAAGTTGGAAGAGATTTGTTGTCAAAGTTGCATTAGCTGGGTTTTGAACCCTGATCTCCCACATGAAAGTCCATGACACAGACCATTGCACCTATGGAGCTGTGGCAGAAGATAGTGGCAGCGGTTAGTTTGTATGTGTGCAGAAAGAGGCCATATTGCCAATGCAATTGTTGACACAGAACTGCATAATATTACAACAATAGAGTAATATTAGGACAATATTTTAGTAAAACATCGAAATACAATCATATTAGTATTGAAATCACTGAACTACTAAGTTTAAATATTATTAAAACTATGGTTCAATACTGAGTATATACAGCAAGGGGCAGTATTGGACCAATAGAAGGCTCCATTGACTGGCATTATATGATTTTAAACATTAATATTTCAAAAAGTATAAGCTGTACAGGCACCAAAAGGCATAGCCATCATTTGGCAAAGGAGCTTTACAGATATAAATTGCAATGACAGCTCTAGGACAAAGTAAGCAGGAGGAGAAGCGTGCCAAAGTGGAGATGACTTGGATGGGAAATGAATCACAATAGTGTGCATTGCCAATGCAATGCACACTGATAAAACAACAACACAGTAAAAAACACTTAGCTAAAAGACTTTCTGAATAAAAATGTCTTAAGATGTTTCTTAGAAGAGTCAGAGTGTTCCACAGCTTCGGGGCCACCGCCTGAAAAGCTTTGTCTCCACAGGTTTTATAATGGGTCGAGGGACCACCAGCAGCAGTTGATTTGAAGACCTCAAAGTCTTGGATGGACAGAGAGGCTTCAGAAGGTCCAGTATGTATTTGGGGGCCTGACCATGAAGTGCTCTGAAAGTTAAAACTAAAATTTTAAAATGACTCCTCAAAGTCACAGGGAGCCAGTGCAGAGAGGCTAAAACAGGTGTAATGTGGGCTCTGCTCTGCTGTGGCTCTTTGTGGGTCCACAGTTGGGCTGCGACCCATGGGTTAAAAATCTCTGCACCAGTTGTGTGAGTTCAGCTGCGGGGCAGCCACATGCTGCACCCCAGGCCACCCTATTCTTTTGCATTGGGAACTTACCGCACATGTCCAAAATCTTACCATGACTTTCCTATGGGAATCTGGCGCGGCGAACAGCTCGTGACCCGGAAGTGACTCAACACGAAAAAGCTCATGAGTAAAATGGAAGTTTACACATCTATAACTCAAAATATTTTTTTTACTTATCAGAAAACATATATACAATATTTTTTTCTAAACATTTATAACATTTTATTTTGTTATTTAAATTTTTTATTTATTTTTTGTACCAAAATCAGTGGTGTGGCGGCACCTTAGCACCACCTATTGACCAGCCGCCAATACTCTTTGTGATCTGTAAAGTTTTGTGAAACATCAGAACTGTGTGAATTTATTTTTTTATTTTTTTTCACCACAAAATTTACACAATTTGAACCCAAACGAAACTTACAATGAAAGCAAATGCTTTAAGTAATTTTTTTTTAATTTTCATGAATAAATATTCTCAGCCCCAAAAATGAGCATTTACGGAGCCCGCGAGGGGACATGGGAGTTTTTTCTTTCTTTTGCGTTCCCACGCAATAGTATTGTGTTACCTCGCAATACTTTTGCGTTCCCTCGCAAAAGTAGTTTATCACTGTTGTGCCTGCCAGTTTATTAACAAACTCACATGTTCACCATTAGCGAGTTAGCCTGCTGCTTTAATTCAGCTTCAGAATGAATATATCACACAGCCACGCATGGAAGTATGTCATATGCCGATATTTTAACACAGTGCAGCCACGCAACATCAATGCCAATTTCACGAACTTGTGGTGACGCATCCTGTTTTGGTAACCGGATATTTCAAAATAAAATTCTGATTTAATTCAGTTCATATACAAAACTATCTTTTGCGTGGGAACGCAAAAGTATTGCGATGGAACGCAAAAATATTGTGAGGGAATGCAAAGGTATTGCGAGGGAACGCAAAAGTATTGCGAGGGAACGGAAAAGTATTGCGAGGGAACGCAAAGGTATTGCGAGGGAACGCAAAGGTATTGCGAGGGAACGCAAAAAATATTGCGAGGGAACGCAAAAGTATTTCGAGGGAACACAAAAGTATTGCGAGGGAACGCAAAGGTATTGCACGGGAACACAAAAGTATTGCGAGGGGACGCAAAAGTATTTCGAGGGAACGCAAAAGTATTTCGAGGGAACGCAAAAGTATTTCGAGGGAACGCAAAATTATTTCGAGGGAACGCAAAAGTATTGCGTGGGAATGCTAAAAGAAAAAAAATCCCCCCGTGTCCCCTCGCGGGCTCCGTAAGCATTAAAATTGTACATTTTTGTTAACTTTCAAACAAAAGTCAAGGTTTTACAAATCCTAAACTTTGTTTATTTAAAGCTTTTGCATTTAATGTAAACAATCTAGTCCAGGTTTGAAAAGTTTGAGCTCTGTAGTTTTTGGACCCCTTAATGGTTTATACATGTGAAAAAAATATTCTCCACCCACTCCCCCACTGTCATTTTCACATATCACTAAAATATTTACAAATCATAAACTGTGTTTTGATTTCTGTTCAGGACAATCTAATTTTAAACAGTCTGGTTCAGACACTGAAAAACACCCCTTTACAGAGCAAACGAACCAAAGCTGGAAGTGGAAGCCAACTTCCTTGTCTTCCTTGTCTTCCTTGCCCAATCCCCCGCGGGGACCGCGAGCCTTGAGTTTGGGAGCCTCCCCCGCAGCCGTGGGGGTAATGACACGCAGCGGGGCGGTGCAGATGTGTTTATCTCTCATGTTGAACCCACGCAGAACACAGCGCAGTGAGATCAGACTTGACGAAGCTCACACAGGTAGGTTGACTTGTGTTTTTTTTTTTTTTTTTTTTTTTTTTTTTTTTTTTTTTTTTACCCGAACCTGTTTACGGACCAAACAGCCGGAAGTGGGTCACTGGAACGAGCAATAATTATCTCTACAAAACTAATCGATTAAAAAAAAGAAAAACCAAATATGAGGTTTGTAACGAGGTTCACCTGCACTGAGAATAAGATATCTGTAAATTAAAACAGAAAACTTGAAAGCTTTCAGTCAAAAACTTAAATAATTTAAAAAAAATGCATTTCTTAAAAGAATGCAGCCTGCCAAAGCATTGAACCAAAGGAGCATCTTAATAGAGTTTGGTCATAAATCGAAAGAAATAATAAAAATAAAACAACGACCTGGAAAGTCTAATCAGAGTAACACATATATGTGCTGCAGATGACTCTCAGCTACTATCGCACCAAACTGTAGCTCAGTATCTAGAATTACATGCATCAGAGCCATTGTTGTGTTTTTTATATTGATCAGCTGTGATGGCTGTCTTTGAGTGAATTAACTCTAAAATGTAATCAGTTGTAGTTGGACTTCTAATGATTAACTTCTGAGACTTTCATTAACATTAGTCCAGTGGTTCATGATAAATTTTGCTAACAGACACAGGCAAAAACATGCATTCTTTTAATCCTCAGCAGCGGCTGGTAAAGGAAGATAAAATTAACCGAAAGCAATTTGAATTCTGCAGAAATTCTCAGTAGATCTTTGAGGTGCCGTCCTTTCAGTGTTCTGCAAAATCTAACGCTGCAAATACAGAACCATCATCGAAGACCAGAAACAAAATCCACTGAGCCAGGTTAGTTATGATTTATTCTAACTGGTTAAGGAACAGTCCAACATTGTTGTTTAATCACAAGTTTTAATTTGAAAACATTTTTGATGCTTTAAACACCTGAACTGTACTCTTAAAAGAGATGTGTTAAAAAATAACACAAAAAATGTGTTATTGCATTTAAAGCGCATTTTGTGTTAATTTAACACACATTGTGTTAAAATTGCAACAAAATTGTAACACACTGAGACCCACTGACATTAGTTGTGTCATAAATGACATTAGTTGTGTCATAAATGACACAACATGTGTTGTCCCTGAGCTGATTCAGCACACGTTAAAATTTGACACATCATGTGTTGTTTTTAACGCATCTGTTTTGCGTGCAGTATTTAGATTAAGGTTACATAAGGAGTCAGATGCTTTTTTGTCAAGTGAGCAAAATGTAAAAACTTACGTTAGTTATTGCACAAGAATCAATGTAAAGAGGAAGAGCTTGTTTGAGAACTGAAACTGATGATCTGGGCTGTCCTAATGAGGTAGGGGCGAGATCGTGGGGCACAAGCTCTAGGGAAGAAGCAGCCTGGTGGTTCATGTTCTTTTGCCTTTAAGAAAGGACAGTTTCACTGTTGCTCACCACCATACGGTGAAAAATGGTTTAATTATGTTTTTAAGTTTTCGTTCGTTCATTCCCTCGCTGTCATCGTCTTGTTTAAAAACACACTACTCCTTCCTTCCTTCCTTCCTTCCTTGTCTTGCCTTTGAGTCTGAGTGAGATGGTGCAAAACCTCACTGTGTATCACAACTCTGTTCTATATGTTCTGTAAATTTAAATGCTCCATATTTTTGATTTGTATTTTGACTGTATCCTGACTGTAATTTTAACTATGTCCAGTTGTGTTTGTCTACTGTACAGCACTTAATAACAGTGGTATGGTATGGTTTGTTTGTCTGTTAGCAAAATATCTCATGAACCGCTGGATGGATTTTCAATACATTTCCAGGAGATAAACATGCATCTACACCTGATTCATTTGAGTCAATCTAATCAACCTCTTGACCTTAGAAAGTACAATAATTAGTAATATTAGGCTAGAATTTGTTATTAGCTGAGCATGTCGTCACATATCACATGAGATTGTGCATAACAATTAAATCAAAACAGCCAACTCAGTCATTTTTCAACATAAAATGCCTTAGTTCAAAATGCTGACACGAGAGGTTGTGGGTGATGTGTAGCCTATTCCTTTTTATAATATATTTACCCTTATTTAACCAGGCAAATCCCATTGAGATATCAGATCTCTTTTTCAAGGGCAGCCTGGGTCTGAAGGTAACCTATTGTACATATTTTTGTGTTGTGGGGGGAAACCGGAGCACCTGGAGAAAACACACAAATGCACGAGGAGAACATGCAAACTGCACAGAAAGATCACAAGTCTGAACCGGTTATCGAACCCAGGACCTTCTTGCTGTGAGGCGTCGGTGCTAACCACTGAGCCATCATGCTGCCTTTCCTTTTAAAGTTTTTGGGATGCACACACAATGGTTTTAATTTTTCCGTCTTATCTTTGCACAAAACACCATTTAACTCCAGATTTGCTTTTATTAAAACAAATCTGTGAAAGAAATTTTGTCTGTATTCCGTGTCTACTCTAACAAACATGAAAAAATTATTTTAAGACTCATCGATGCAGTGCTGATTTCAGAATAATCTGACATCCTGTTCCTGCAACATGAGACAGAAAGAGATGTTAGCTTATTTCAAATGATCCGGCTTTGAAGTCAGACTGATTTTATTTCCTGTTTAGAAAAAAGTAAAATACTGACTGCTCGTAAAATATACAACAGGTCTGGACCACTCATAAATTTTGTTCATATCTGAAGAAAATCTTACAATACGAGAAAATTGGTGAATGCCATAAGTTCTCTTAAATCATTTGTACGCACAAATCTGTTCGTACGAACGTTTTTTGCATGAGGTTCATTGTTCTTACATTTTGCAATTTTTTACTAAATGTTAGATTTAAATGCTAAATTTTAAATCTAGATGTGTAAATCTAAATGTAAAATGTAAATCTTAAAAGTTGTGGCTAAATGTTGAAGTTTGCTTTTAGGTATTTTGGAATGGAACACAGCCTTTGCTGTTGCGACTCTTATGACATCAACATCCTGCAACAAAAACAGCTGCTAACGCTGCTAAGGCTGCTAACAATGCTACAGCTTCCCTAAAAGACATCAAACTTGCAGATGTCTGAGCTAAACTTCAAACTGCCGGACCACAGTTACCGTCCATATTGTTGTCAATTACCACATTTTGAATTCAAATTTTAAACACCCTCTTCAGCAGCTTCAGCAGCTGTAGCACCGTTAACGGCTGCTTTTATTGCAGGATGTTGATGTCAAGTCACGCACCATCTGCAAAGGCTGCGTTCTATTCTGTTCATCCATTTGTTTTCTGCCGCTTGTCTGGGGTCGGGTCTCGGGGGCATCAGCCTAAGCAGAGACCCAGACTTCCCTTTCCCCAGCCACTTGGGCCAGCTCATCTGGGGGAATCCCAAGGTGTTCCCAGGCCAGCTGAGAAACATAGTCCCTCCAGCGTGTCCTGGGTCTTCYTCTGGGCCTCCTCCCAGTGGGACGTGCCCAGAACACCTCACCAGGGATGCTTACAGGAGGCATCCTAACCAGATGCCTGAGCCACCTCAACTGGCTCCTCTCGACGTGGAAGAGCAGCGGCTCTACTCTGAGTCCCTCCCGGATGACTGAGCTTCTCACCCTATCTCTAAGGGAGAGCCCAGCCACCCTGCGGAGGAAACTCATTTCGGCTGCTTGTATCCGCGATCTCATTCTTTTGGTAACTACCCAAAGCTTGTGACCATAGATGAGGGTAGGAACGTAGACCGACTGGTAAATCGAGAGCTTTGCCTTCTGGCCCAGCTCCCGCTTTACCACGACAGACCGGTACAGCGCCCGCATCACTGCAGACGCAGCACCAATCCGCCTGTCAATCTCCCGCTCCATTCTTCCCTCATTTGTGAACAAGACCCGAGACACTTAAACTCCTCCACTTGGGGCAGGACCTCCTCCCCGACCCAGAGGAGGCAACCTACCCTTTTCCAGCTCAAGACTATGGTCTCGGATTTGGAGGCACCGATTTCCATCCCGACTGCTTCACATTTGGCTGCGAACTGCTCCAGTGAGAGCTGGACATCACGGCCTGATGAAGCCAATAGGACCACATCATCCATAAAAAGCAGAGATGCTATTCTAAGGTCACCAAAATGGATCCCCTCAATACCTTTGCTGCGCCTAGAAATTCAGTCCATAAAAGTTATGAACAGAATCGGAGACAAAGGGCAACCTTGGCGGAGTCCAACTCTCACCGGAAACGAGTCCGACTTACTACCAGAAATGCAGACCAAGCTCTGGCACCGGTCATACAGGGAACTTACAGCCTGTATCAATGGGCCTGGTACTCCATACTCCCAGAGTACCCCCCTCAGGAGTCCCTGAGATATACGATCGAACGCCTTCTCCAAATCCACAAAACACATGTAGACTGGTTGGGCGAAGTCCCACACACCCTCCAGGACCCTGCTGAGGGTGTAGAGCTGGTCCGCTGTTCCACTACCAGGACGAAAACCACACTGCTCTTCCTGAATCTGAGATTTGACTATTCGACGGACCCTCCTCTCCAGGACCCCTGAATAGACCTTACCAGTGAGGCTCAGAAGTGTGATCCCCCTATAGTTGGAACACACTCTGTGGTCCCCCTTTTTAAATAGGGGGACCACCACTCCTGTCTGCCAATCCAGGGGAATTGCCCCCGATGTCCACGCAATATTGTAGAGTCACGTCAACCAACACAACCCCACAACATCCAGAGCCTTAAGGAACTCTGGGCGAATCTCATCCACCCCCACCCCCAGGAGCTTTTTAACCACCTAGTGACCTCAGCACCAGAGATTGGAGAGTCCGACCCTCGGTCCTCAGGCTCTGTTTCCCCACGGGAAAACGTGTCGGTGGGATTGAGGAGGTCTTCGAAGTATTCTGCCCACCGACCCACACATCCCGAGTTGAGGTCAGCAGCGCACCATCCCCACCATTCGTAATCCACGTTCTATTCCGAAATACTTAAATGTAAACTTCAACTTGTAGCTACAAAATTAGAGATTTACCTTTTACATGTAGATTTACACATTTACT